CCCATCTCCCAGAACTAATCTTTCACACTCTGATCTATGCTAGTTGTGCGAAAGTTGGTCGCTAAGGTCTAGGATACACTATGCGTGAGTTTGCTGAAAGCATGGAGGGATCACCGTGGATGGTTAGCGGTGATTTCAACATCTTTCTTCACCCCGATGAGTGTGTTGACGGCGGTCGAATCGACCCACTAAGATCTTAGACTTTTCTCATGCAGTGGTGGATTGTGTGTTAATTGACGCTGGATATGAAGGTGCAATCTTCACTTGAGAGCAGACCGGAGTCAAGGAGAGGCTCGACCGTTCTTTAGTCTCTGAGGGTGGTCACGACCGTCACACATCTCCCTCGAGTTAAATCTGATCATGCTCACCTTCTTATCTGGTGTCGGTTTTTGAGCACCCCCCATCGCTCCTCTTTTCGATTCTAGCACATGTGGATCCGCCACCACACGTTCCATGACACGGATAGGGCTTCTTGGCAGCAACCGACAAGCTTTTTCCGGATGCTCAATCTGGAGGCAAAGCTCAGGAGATTGCAGTACAGCTTGAAGCAATGGAATTGAACGGTTTTTGGAGACATCTCTCAGTGTCTTGATGCAGCTCAGAGTGCGTATGCGGAGGCCGAGCGAGCTTATGACCTGAACTCTTCTCCAGAGAATAGGGACGTGATGCATCGCTGTCACGTTGAGTACTAGCTTCGTCTCCTTATGGAGGAGGGTTTATGGAAGCAGAAGGCTGTCGTACACTGGGTTGCTAAGGGGGAACATAATACTAAGTACTTTCAGGGGTTTGTGAGGCAGAAGCAGGTTTAGTCGTATATTCATCGTATCGAGGATAACGGAAATTCCTTGTCTCAAGAGTCCTAGATACTGGAGTCGGCTGTGACACACTTTCAGTCCCTCTTCACCTCAGATTGGACTTGCTTACGCCCCCCCAACGCTTCCATTTTCCCTACCATCCCGCAGTCGGTTGACCTTGTTGACCTCTGCGACCTCCTAAGTAGGGAGGAGGTCAGGGAGGCTGTTTTTGGATTGATCCCAACAGTGTTTCTGGCCTGGATGGCTTCTCGTCTCTTTTGTTTCAGGCTTACTGGGATATCGTTTAGACTGACGTTGAGGAAGCTGTGATGGATTTCTTTTTGGGTCACCATATGCCCGAGTCCTTCACAGAAACCTCTATTGTTTTGATACCCAAGAGACCTTACCCGAGCTTCTGGTGCGATTATAGACCTATCAGCCTTTTTGTAATGTGACCAACAAGCTCATCTCTAAGATCCTTAACGTCCGTATTGCCACCCTCCTCCCTTCCCTCGTCTCTCTGAACCAGAGTAGTTTCATCAATGATCGAGTCATCACTGATAACATCATTTTGCCATGAGATGATATATCAGACATCTCCCATGTAAACCAGTTACGAGCCCCGAACCTTGTGTTGAAGCTAGATATGGCTAAGGCATATAATATGGTCGAGCGGCTGTTTCACAGAGAGGCTCTGTTTTGGATGGGCTTCCCTGAGCGTTGGATTAGTTTTGTGGAAGCGTGCGTGGAGTACTGTACGTTCTCGTTTCTAGTTAATGGTAGCCCCACTAACTTCTTCCCTTCCACCTGTGATCTTCGGCAAGGGGATCCCTTATCTCGGTCCTTTTTTGTCCTGGCGACAGACTATCTTTCTCGTTGCCTTGACAACTTCATTCGTGATTTCCTGAGGATTACATGCAGCACTTGTGGCTATGGTCCCTCCATCTCGCACCTATCTTATACAGATGACACTTGATGTTTTGGTATTATCATTACAAAATTATCACTACAAAACAAAGAAGAACTTTTGGATTTTTTTCTTCTTTCATAGATGTAGAGAAGATTGAATCGGAGATTCAGAAGTTTCAAACTTCCTATTACATGTCCGATCCTACTATTATTTTATTTGGGTGTTTTTGCTTGAGCTGTACGAGATGAAAGTCTCATATACGGCTCTGAGAGGGGGATTTTCACCTATCTCAATAAAGTCTATGATTGGTTCAAAGAACGTCTCGAGATTCAGGCGATTGCGGATGATATAACTAGTAAATATGTTTCTCCCCATGTCAATATATTTTATTGTTATTATCTTCACTCGCACGGATAATAATGGTCTAGCCGAGCTCATGCGCCTCCTGGGGCACTATAGCTCGATCTACGGTTAGCTTCTCAGTGTGCAGAAGAGCACATTCACCCTTAATTATCACATTGACCAGTGGGTCTATTAGGTCGATGAGCGCACTGGTTTTATACGTGGTGACATCATCATCATCTATCGTAGAGCTCCCCTGCACAAGGGCCATCTCTAGCATGAGCTCTTTACATACGTCAGGCAGAAGATGATTGATCGAATCTCCGGCTAGTCTTATAGACACCTCTCCTTTAGGGGTTGGCTTGCTCTGATCAAGATCACTCTCAGCGCCCTCCAGATTCACCTTCTAACGGTCCTCGACCCCCACCAATCTACGATACATGAGCTAGGTCAGATCTTGGCTTGTTATTTTTTGGGGCATGGGGAGGGCTCTCGGAGAGGGAGACATGTCCACTGGATGAAGTGGAACTCCGTTTGTCTCCCTTTCTCTGAGAAGCCTCGGGATCCGATGCTTTTATGATGTCGTCAGTGCATTCTCTTGTAAGATGTGGTGGAACTTTAGGGAGGGTAAGTCACTTTGGGGCCAATATCTTCGTCGGAAGTACTGTCCTGGAGGCGCTGCAGACCCCTGTAGGGTGATAGTAACCGCCCGCGATAGAAAACAGTGGAGGCTGCTCACCATGGTTTGTACACATGCACAGTATCACATTTTTTGGACTCCGGGTGAGGGGGAAATTAGCTTTTGGGATGAATGGTTTTCTTGTGAGAGTCCGATTTCGAGCACTGGACATGTCACCCACCTTTCCTTTCTGTAGGTGAAGGACCTGTGGACGGAGGGGAAATGGGATAGGGATTGGTTAGAAAGGATTCTGGATATTGGAGCGGGTTTTACGACTAGGTGACAGATCAGATCCAAGAGATACTCGTCTGGAAGGATGTTTGGACGGTATGAGGTGGAAACTTACATCTTCGGATGCATTCTCTACGACCTCATCTTGTGGGGAAGTATGGTTGGGTAACCAGCCTAACCTTTTCTTCGGGGCCATCTACACCAACCTACTTATCCCGATCATCTCAATTTTCCTATAGCACCTTCATATGCGCCGCCTTTCGATTGATTTTGTGATGCAGGCAAGGGGGGTCTTCTTTCCCTAACGTTGATATCGTTGTGCTGAGACCGACGATTTTCAGACTAAGACCTTTACCCATTTGATTCTTGAGAGCGATACTGTGAGGAGAGTGTGGGAGCATTATTCCGATTATACCCATATACCTCTGCCCACCACATATAACTTCTTTGAGCTTCTGAGTTTTTTCACACAGAGCACACATGATAGGCACGTGGGCTTCTTTATTCCTTGTTTGATCCTTTGGTTCATCTGGACAGAAAGGAATAATGCGAAACATAGAGAGTTTTTTTGTTCCCACATTATTTTGTAGGTTGACAGACATCTATCTCTCATTACTGCTCTAGGTAGACTCACG